TGGGAATATGTTTTTTTTTAATGCGCATGTCGCATTCTCTTCTCATTCATATTGCGTGAACGCTCAATTAGATATAAAAGAGTAATAGCTTTGTAAATTCAACATCACTTGACAATATCAACGCCGAAGTATGCTTGGTTTAGAAACGGCTTAAAAAGATCAGAGAAAGAGATCACTCCGGGCAAAGCTATGTAGCTACATAGTAGAATGTCCGAACAACGACTGAAAGAAGAGAAAGCTTTTGCGAGAAGTGTTACATGACCTAAAATATTGTTAGCAAGAAGAGAAATTACCCAGAGACCGGGTTGAAGACATACCTCAGCGATTGACTGCCGCTCAATGATTGATTTCTGTCTCTCGTTGCGCGAAACACGGTAGTAATAGTCACTGAAGTCACCACATTTCATGTGACGCAGGAATTCTTCATCGTGGGTGATAACAATCAATTGGAAGTTGGCCTGCTGCTGACGAGTGCGGATAATGTCATGCAACGACTCCGCCAGAGAGCGAATATTGTCTCGGTCCAGGTTCGTAGTGGGCTCATCAAGAGCGATAAGGCCGCAATTCACACCGAAACATTCCGCAAGGGCCAGACGAATGATGATACTAGCCAGTACCTTTTGGCCTGCACTGCAACGGCCTCGCATGTCCATCTCGGCGCCTGACTTGACCATACAGACACGGTAGTTGTATGATCGGTTGCCCTTGGCGTTCTCGTTGTCAGACCGGATGAGAATTGTGTCGACGTCCGTTCCGCGATAGGTCTTCTGCCACAGCTCGCTAGCGATGGCATTGATTTCTGCCATCTTTAGGCCGTGATATTGCATGATTGCTTTGTCAAGAGCGCCACCGTATCGAGCCAGGTCTTCGACAGCAGCTTTGGTGGTCTCGACCTTGATGTGGGATTCCTTGTATTTTGAAGCTGCATCCTTATAATCTGTGTTCCAGTCTGCCAGCAGCTGCATCAGCTGATCATCCTTGGACTTCATTTCGCCCATCTTGCTCGCCTGTTTGGCAGCAAGGGCGTTGTGCTCACGAGTCCAGCGTTCTGACTCTTGCTTGAAACGGCCTCGGTCAACTTCGGCATTCTGTGCTTCTAATTGCTCAACTTCCTCAAGAACTGTGTTGAGAGATCGAGTTGCTTGGCGATATGTCAAGTTGTCCGAGTATTGTCGCTTTGTGTTTTCACTGTCCTTGAGTTGGCTTGAGATCTTGTTGATCTCCCTTGTGATCTCGCTTTGATCGGCTTCGAGTTTGCCAATTTCAGCTTCAATTTCTTGAAGCTCCTGTTTGCTTCGCTTAAGCTGGTCCGGACCTCCTCGTTGATTGTACGAGTTGATGTCATCATTGGCAAGATCAAGCTGATGAATATTCTCGGATAGGCGGTTAATCTCGTGCTGCAGATCTCGTTCACGTTCGTCGGCTCGCTGGCTGATATCATCATAACGAGCTTGAGCTTGAAGCAATTCTGGCGTGAGATTTTCGATATCTCGGTCTGTTTTCTCAATTGCGTCACGCTGCTGATTATTGAGTTTCTTGAATTCCTCCATCCGGACGACTAGGTCCGCTTTCTTTTCCAGCTGGAACTTGGCATTGTCTAGGTTGCTCTTCACGTCCCTGAACTCGAGCTCCAGCTTGTTGATCTCTGATCGCGTCTTTTCTTTCTCGTTTGTCACTTTCGCAAGAGTCTTTTTCAACTCCCGCGACTTTTCATTAATGGAGGCGATTTCTTCCTGAATATCTTCCAGGGTACGAGCAGTTGAAGCCCCTTGCTGCTTTTCAGAAAGCTCTTGAATTTGCGACTTGATCGTCTTTGTCTCGACATCGTAACGCACGATAGTGCTCACTGTCTTAGCAAGACCCTCAACGTCACGCTTGATTTCTGTCTTCTCGCTGACCTTTCCGTCGTGGGTTTCCAGCTTCTCCAGGAGCTGATCACGCTGGGATTCAGATTCTTGTTCTTCTTGTTCCAGCTCTGGAATGACACTTTCTGACAAACGGACCCAGGTATCGTAGGATGCACTAGCGGCGCGGGCAGTTTCGAGATCTTCTTCAAGGCCCTTCAGGGTCTCGTCTTCGGCATCGAGACCAGCCTTCTTGACTAGGGCATCCAGCTTCTTCGTAAAGGTCTGGAGTTCCGCCTCGTTCTTGAACGATCTTTGACATGTTCGGCACAACTTGGTGCGCTTAGCAGCATCAAGACATTTAGTAAGGTACTCTCCCATTCCGGCATATTGATCAGCATCTTTGCGAGCCATGTCATACTGTGCCTGGCGCTCCTTCACAATTTCAGGGTATTCGGAAGGCTCTGCGTCGACTGCTTCGTGAATTTCCTTCACACATTCATCGAGTTCCTTTTGACGTTGCTTGAGGTTCTTCTTGGCTGTCTTGAGCTTAAACTCTACATGCTCCAATTCTCGGCTCACACCGTCGCGCTCACGCTCTGCATCGGCCATTTGTTTTGATTCACTATCGAGGGCTTGCTGGAAGCCTCGCTCCAGTGTCTCAGGCTTCCAGTCTGCACCAACGACCTTCTCAAGGCGATCACCATGAGCTCCTTTCATCGTTTGTAGACTGCGTTCACGGTCCTTCAATTCTTTCTTGAGGTGGTCTAGGCGAGCTAGGTCCCCAGCCTTCTTGGTTGAGTCAATGAGCTCAGTGTTCAATCTCGAGCTTTCATCCTCAAGGCGACGAATTTCCGCATTGGTATCCTGGATATCTTGATCCCAGGAAGCAGCTTTGGCTCGCTCTTTCGCGTGCTCAAGGTTTGACGTGATATTCTCGACCTTTGATTCAAGTGCAGCCTGGAAGCCCTCATCTACCTCAATTTCATTGAGCTTCTTCTGATAAGTTGTTGCCTCTCTATCGTTCGCAGCAATCTGTCGTTTTGCCGCATTCTTGGTCTCTTGGAGTGCGGACTTGGTTTGCCCAATATCATTCAGTTTTTCTTGAACCTCACGAAGCTCTTTCTGGGCTTCACGCTTCACACGATCCAGGGATTGATTCTGCTCCCTTAAAAGACGTTTGATCTTCTGCATGAAAGTGTCAATTTCAGACTGATCCATTTTCTCGTCAAGGCCACGAATGTTGTTGGCGCGAGCAATTTCATTGATCATATTCTGACGCCTTTGAGACTGGCGCTCGAAGTTGGCCTTGTCGTTCTCAAACTTTCCATTCTCGGCTTGTTTCAAGCCAAGACGGTGCCGAGTCTGCTCGATCCGCTCCTTAATTTCCATATAGTTTTCCTTTTGTGACTCTTCTTGTTGCTGGTACTGGATTTGCTTAGTCTCGAATTGCTCCAGGGTCGATTCAAGCCATTCATCGGAGTCATCAAGCTCGACCAAATGTCTCTTAAGGTTGTCAATGGTAGTTTGGATACTTTTAGCTTCAATACGCTTGCCCTCAAGAGCACCGAGGACCTGGGCATAACTTTCTGATTGCGTCCAAGCCTTATCAGCAAGCTCCGCGACGCGCCGCATCTCTTTGGACATTCGCTGGGTCTCTTCGCGCAAGGCTTCGATTTCGTCCTGAAGCTTGACGGAGCGTTTTTCAGCACGGTCTGCCTTATCTTTGTCTTCTTTCGCATGTTGCTCCATGATCTTAAATTTGCCAAGCTCCTCGTTCTGCTTCTTTCGCAGTGCTTTGATATTGTCAATGGCCTTGGTGTACTTCATAGCCTCAAATATTTCGTCAAACCGTTTCTTCAACACGGAAGGTTCACTCATTGGCCACAGACTTTCGTCCTGGTGGCAGAAAATGACCGAATCCAGCACGGCCTTTGACACGCCTAGATACTGTGGCATGATTTGGTCTAGCTCAGCCACTCGTGATGAAATAGCCGTGCGTTCGCCATTTTTGATCATAAGCAGCTGGCCTTCTAGCGTCTTCTGCTGTCGTGTGGTTTTTTTGACCGTGAGCTGTAGACTCCGCGTAGCAACCATTTTCGCCCCGGAAGTGGCCTTGAACGATAGCTTCACCTGAGCCAGGACTTCTTTTTCGCCACATAGTTTCGGGTCATGGATAAAAGCACCGCCTTTGCTGTTCGGAGGGAGATCGCCCGTTGTGGCATATTTGAGACACTCGATAATGGTCTAAATCCGCGTCAGCTCCCTGGTCACTCCTAGTCGCCCATTTCGCCATTTCGTACCGTCTTTCCTGAGCCATTGTATCCGACAATCAATGTGAGGGGTGTGTGGAATTGGATCGTTTCGCTGCGCGTATTATCGAAGGAGCGGACTCTAAAACAAGCGCGGTTTGATGAGCATGAGTGTAACTACTCTCCGCAGTGGTTGCACGCGGATTAGAATTTTTGATAGACATACCCTAGAATAGAGAGCTTATCAATCTTCGCTATAGTATGTTAGATAAACCGTTGAAAACTTTTCTTTCTCGCCGAGGTATATAGCTGTTGCACTTACACCTAGAACCCAGTTAGCATTGCGACACGAGGCGGGGAATGATCAGCACGTACATCTTGAACAGAAGCTCTGCGGAGGGCGTTTTAGCCCGTTAGCCGTTAGCTTTATCGAATTCAATCGAATATGATCTGGACAGAGATAGCTGAGAAAAGTTGCTCTGATCGTTGTGATCGGTCACATAGTCCCGCGTCAAAGCGACACGAAATCACGTGAATTGTTCTAAAGTGCTACGGCCCACAGGGATCGGCGGTGTTGTCGACCAGCAATGGCCGGCTTTTATTTCCAATGTTCTCTTTTTTCGAGATCCAGACCCTCAGTGAGACGATGTGTATATTTTGAAAGACGCATTGTCCAACGCAACCTCTTGACCGCATGTACCGAATGTACTGCAGGTCTCGAATTTGGATAATGAACCATTCCATTCTCAACGCCGACTCTACTATATCCGTTTCCTCGTGCGGACATTGATTTCTAGGGAAATCCCCTCAATCGTTATGAGAGACCTCGGATTCAAAATTATCCAGCCATATCACTAGCGCTATTATACCTCTCTCGCTTTGGTTTCTATATACCGCCCTCGATATGGATCTGAATCGCCCGCAACCCTATGAGGGTATGCCTTTATCCACTTCCCAGATGAGATCGAGCTCCAATCAGGGGCATCCGGTGTACGCATTGGAGCAACAACGAATCCATGGGTCATACAGCGGGCAATATGGAGTACAGGGTGCTCAACACAGGGGATACCCGAGCGTACAATTGGATGCAGGCTGGACAGGGCGAGTCCTTGATGAGATGAAGGATATGCTACTTCTCCTCACCCCCCAGGGCCGAATCTCCTATGCCACTCCGTCGTGCAAGAACGTCACCGGCCGCGTCGCAAAACAACTCGAGGGAAGTCCTCTGGTGCAGTACATTCATGGAGACGACCAGCCAATCTTCCAGAGAGATCTGGACGACTCAGTCGCCGCGAACCAATCGTTCCGGACCCATTTGCGATTCCAAAAGACCAACGGCACATATTCTCTCATGGAGGCCTATGGTCACCCACATCTTGCAAACCAGGATGGCCGTCAGACAGGGACAAGTCCATCCGCCAACGGACGTTGCACCGGCTTTTTCCTCGTGTGCCGACCGTATTCCAACAAGGTCTCCCAGCTCCTTGACTCCTTTTTAGAACACAAGATTGAGAACGCACGTCTGATCCAGCAGATTGCCAAATTGAAACAAGAAGAAGAGGAAGAGGCGGCCGTGACTCGGGCGCCCTATTCTACGCGCGATCAAGATATTCGTGCACCTGTAACCGAGAACCAGGGCCAACAAGCCACTCGTTTGGGGGAAGTATCCAGTGATCCCGATACTACAGACACCGTGGGGCCGAACTCGGATGAATCCGACACGGGTCAATCGGCAAGCTATCGACCAGAGCACAATACCGGCGAAGTCTACTCACACATTGACGGCATCGAAGTCATGACTGGTCTTAACTATGCAGAGGGTGAGAGATCGCAAGGTATTAGCACAGGTGTCAGCCGTGGCCGTCTTGTACATTGCGATATCGACATAACCACTGCTGCTGACCAAGAACGCAATGCCCAGGAAGGTGACCGCCGTAAAAGGCACAAGTCCCAGCATATCTGTAGCGATTGCGGGACTGCAGACTCACCAGAATGGAGAAAAGGGCCATTAGGCCCTAAGACCCTTTGCAATGCTTGTGGCTGTAAGTTTTGTCCACCGCCACTTGGAATCCCTGCTCCAAGATACATATTCCCGTGTTTATAACCTATCGACTCTTGGCATGGAACAAGCTAACCCAGATGTCGTTTTTTTAGTGCGCTGGTCTAAGAAGGAGAAGAAACGGCAGGAGTTGGCTTAATTTTCAGTTGGTTTATTTGCTTTTCTGGGACTCGTGACCTTCCCAGGTTTTCTCTCCATCATGATGTCTTACATGTTCACGTCAAAATACCCCCTCAATTGTTTGGGCGCCTTGCTGGTCAAGCATTCTGTCCATTTCGCTGGATTTCCAATGATATTCAGACAAGCCCCGTGCTGACTATCGCACGGGTGATGAAATTATGTCCCGTGAAATCGATATTTTCGAATCAATGTATATAACATAAGTAGTTCCTATTTTGCAAACATCTCAATGTTGTGCAACTATTACACTACGGGATCTATATGTTTTTCTTTGGCAACTCACAATTTGATTATGGGGCATTAAATGATTTTTGACAAAGTCAGAGCAAATCAGAAGTCCAACGCCGAAAATGATGACGGGATATACTAAGGACCTGTGGCCAGAGGGATGGAACTGGCCCATCTGCCATCCTTGTCCCATTGAATAATGAAGGTCGTGTATGGGCAACAATAAGTGGTATCACAAAGCAATTTCTCACGCACACTTGAATACTGGGTCCATTCAGGGCTTAGCGGCCTTCTTTGGCGGCGGCGGGAAGTACATCGGCGATGCTGTCGATCTCTCCGGGCTGACTTCATTCGATTGCGCGGACGTGTATTGGGGTTGAGGTACGCGGGAGTTGTCTCTCAGAGGGAGGTCCGAGGCGGTACTGCCATTGCCATTGCCAAGTCGGTTGAAAGCCAGCGTGCGGGGTGTGAAGGGTGAGGGATTTCCTCCAGCGGCCATGGGTGGCACTCCGGGGGTGCGAGGAACCATGCCTGATCCTCGAGGCATTACGCCGGGGGTCATGGGAATCATACTGGGAGACTTGATGACCTCTTCTTCGAACTCTTTCTCGATGCGACGCTCTTCCCTCCGCTCGCGAATCTCTTCCTTTTCTTCGGGAGTGATGAAGCAGGAATGGATACAGAAGCCGAGGATGACTGTATAGTAGACACTGAGGGAACTATTAGCTAACAGTCTGGCGGAACGGGGGTAAAGAAAGTCGAACTAACATCATGATGATGGTCACAGCAAACAGCGCTTTGGCTTGCATGCAGTATCCAATATTAGACTTTCGAAAGGCGACACTGCAACTCTTCGCAATGTACCACGGGGCTCCTGACTGGGGATGCCTTGGGTCTGACATGTCAGACCCAGCCTGATACGCCGCTGACACGATATACAGAACGATCAAGGACAGGTGGACCACGACCGCAACAGGGGGATAAAATAGGTTCATCCAGTGCGTAGGTAATTTTGTGATGAGGAAGAAGGTGCTCAGAACACCAAGGACAAGATTGTAATTGGTAATGCTATTTTCAGGGTCAGCGGCCAGCACTCGAATCTTGAGTGTAGTGAGAAACATACAAGCCGGACCAGACCATAGGGGGTGTGAATGGTCTATAGTTTGATGCTGCATAAAGTGCCTCGTTCGGAGCACTGTTGAATCCATTGTCTGCTCCATCTTGCCATAATAATGTCCGGTATAGATTGTGGGAAGCGATACCGGTCAATGTCAGCATTACGATGGTGATCGGAAACTCCCCGACCATCAACCAAAGGAGGGTCCTGTGCTGCTTGTGCTTCTTTGGAAAAAAGAACATCATGTTGGCGGTTGTTTTGGAAGGTTCGCAATGAAATCGACCTTATTATCCCTCCCAAGCGGACCGTTCAGCTACAGCGCTTATGGAAGAATTAAAGCTTTGTACAACGCGATTTAGCCAGACCGGCTGGCTTAGGCATCCAGTCCACCGCACGTAAAGAGCCAAATGCTTTGTGTCAGAAAATGTCCAAAAAGTAGAAGAAAAAGACGAAGTCTGAGCGACCCGGAGGACGAGCGTTAGATATGAGCTCGAGGCCAACCAGTGGCCGAAAGCACAAGCCATCGCATGCAGGAGGGGTCACGAATCAGCATGGGAATACCGCTCAGAGGGACTGGTGTGTGTTTGGAAGGTGCATCTGGCCAATGCTTGATGGCGGCAAAGCGCCAGCAAAAGTAGCAACCCGGGGTCATCACACCAATGAGATGACTGGGATCGGGGGAAGACCGCTCATCACACGCTAGACTGTGTGATAGGATGGCAGATCTGCATGGATCCCTCATCACATAATTCCCCTCACAGGATCAAAATCCTGGCATTCCGAGGGAACTTGCAGCGTTTTTTTAGTTCGAAGCGCCGGGTGGCACGCTACTAGTGATGCGACTCGCATTTGTGATTATGCAGTGGTCTGTACATACACCCATGTTAGCTCCGGAGTCAAAAAATGAGGAACAAAGAGGTTTTCATTTGTGATGGCCATATCAATTCTCTATGTTGTAGGTCCTAAATTGTCAAGTTCTACGGAGCAAGGAAGTTGAGTGGCTTCATAAATCGTAGAAGTCATGTGGTCGGCAGAATCCTGTAACTGCCCAGGTGAACTGACCTCATATTCATATTCATTTTCATATTTTAAGACAATTCATCAACTTAAATCCATTTAATTCCGTGTAGCTTGATATCTTAATGAAGTCGTTTCAATCCTTCTGTCCACTTATTCGCTCAACTCCGCTTCGCATCATCCGGCTAAGTCAACCTGGATTCCGTTCTATTTCAAAAATCACAGACAAAATGAGTTCCCAAAGGGAAGACTCAATTCCTCATGAGCTGCGAACGGCCGCAGAGCCCCGGCAAAATAGACTACATTCAGTGCGAATATCGCATATCGAACAGGTCAACCCCTCTGTCCGGCTACTACAGTTCGCTCTGCCTCCCCAGGAGAATAATGTATGCGTGTATTTTTTTTTTCTTATCTGATCCCTCTTTCTAAATGCCTCTACTATACTCCGTATCTCTGACTCTATCAAACCCGGCTGCTACCCCCGGGGTTGTTCGCGCCGTTGGATCCTATCTATGCCCCGCACCAGTTCCAATCACACCTAAGCATATTCTATCACACACCTTGGCGCTTACACCAAAGAGATCCCTGTGAACTGACGTAATTTATAGGATACCGATCAACAGCCATTCAGCTTTCTGCCAGGTCAATGGCTTGATGTCCATATTCCCTCCATCACTCAAGCGGGGGGCTTCACTATCACATCAACCCCGGCAGATGCGCAAGTGCTGCCATCGCCAGAAGCTTCTACAGACTCATTAGCTGGCGAAGCGTTAGAACCCTCTTCAGAATCTCAAGGGCGACCACCATATGTGGAACTAGCCGTACAAGACTCGCCAGGTAACCCATCCGCCGCATGGCTATGGAGACCGAAAGAAGAGATCCTAGGCAAGGAGTTGAACATCCGAGTCGGTGGAAGCTTTGTCTGGCCTCCTACTGGAGTCAGTATCAATGATGTTAAAAATGTGGTCTTCGTTGCAGGCGGTGTTGGAATCAAGTAAGTAATACTCCCCAAACATGGCCGTTATCTCCGTGTACAAACATACACCACAAACCAATACCTCAGTTGTTAGATTCCTCATGATGCAATCCTGACAAAGTCTTAGCCCTCTGATATCCATGCTCTCCCACTTAAACAACAACGAGCCGCACACCCCCAACCCAACAACCATCCACATCCTGTACTCTAGCCGACTACCGCCACACCAGGAAACCTCTGCAGCAGTACTAGACCAGATACTGTTTCTCCCGCGTCTGCGCCAGATAGTCCGATCTCAAGAGAGTTCGCACCGACTCCGGATCTCGCTGGACCTCTTCCTTACGGACTTGGCCTCGTCATCTGATCTGTTCTCATCTGGGTCTCCTTCCGATCTCAAGATTCACCCAGCGAGGGTATCGGATCATGACTTACGTTCTGCAGTTGTTGGTGGAGATGGTGAATTGGATTCTCGGGGCACAGTATGCTATGTATGTGGACCGCCTGGTATGACTGACTCCGTTGTGGAGAAGTTGGTGAAGATGTTAGGCGATGGCGGGGAGCAGCGAGTTTTCTTTGAAAAATGGTGGTAAGGTGACAGACTGATAGCGATGTAAGATATTCATTCACATGATATTAATTGTAGTGTTTGTTCGTCGACGTTCCAGTCCAGGCCTATAAGAATTGGAGCAGAATAAGGCTAGCAGAAATGGCTTGAATATTTCAGAAAAAGGTAAGACACCCCCGCAGACGCCGACCTAATGCAGGCAAGGGGCAAAAAGATATATGTACAGGAAAATAGGAGAAAGGCAGCCGAGAACGGAAACGACAGTATGTGAGACAGGGGCAGTACTAACACGCTGACATCTCGATACAAGACTGGAGAAAAGGAAAGGGAGAATGGAGAGAAAAAAAAAGGAGAGAGAGCTCATTGGGATGCTGCGTCTGGGCCTTTGACGGCACCGCCATCCACGATCATCATTTCGTCGATCTTGGCTTCTGTCTGACCCCATTCTAGACGCTTGTATGTTGATACACGACCTGGGCCTCTGTCGAAGTCGAAGAAACGCACTCGTCGGACAAAGTCATCGTAGCCACCATACCCGCCGAATCCGACACCGCCGCCGTAGCACATCCAAAGAGAGGGCTTCTCATTGGTGTCTTGCTCAAGCATGCAATAGTCATTGACATGATCACTGGAGAATATTTAGTCTTCGTACCAACAAAAACGAAGCTTAGGAATGTGACTTACTGCCCACAGCTAACAAACAAGACGCCCTCTTCTTCGAGGGCATCCTTGAAGCCAGAGTTGAACCCTGGTGCAGTGGGTGGTTCCATCCATGCACCCTTAAAGTACTTTCCTGACGCTCGATACTCAGGGAGCGGAATGTGGACGAATGCCGCATTCATGTGGATATGGTTGTATTCCTGATGTTTGCTTCTCAGGCTTTGGGCGGTGTTCTTGAACCACCGGGTTTGGCTCGGCTTGATCCAATCGTAGCCGCGGAACTGACGCTCGTCAGGGGAGTATGAATGCGTGTCAAGGAAATAGAGGGTCAGGGCAGAGTGTGTGCTTTTGCCCCAATCGAGGACTTCGACAACGTAGTTTCCGACTCCGTCAATGTCTTCAGGGCCGGCGGCTGAAAGAGAATAAGGAAGATCTTCGTATATGGTCATGAGTTGTTCTCGGTTGAGGTCACCCTCGTCGTCGTGGTTTCCGAAGATGGCTGCGTAAGGAATCTTGCGATCAACCAAAAGTTTTACAGCCTTGTAGAGAGCACTTTGTGCATCTGGGGCGGTCTCTCCGTTGATCTGGTCACCTGATAGAACCACCATGTCTGGCTTCTCTTCGTCGAGAAGTCGTGCGACGAACTCCAAGGTTCGGGGGTCGGCTTCACACTTCCGGCCAGCCACCGCTTCAACAGGCACAGGGTCACGACAGTGGCCCAGACCGGTGCTCATGTGGAGATCCGCCAACTGCATAACCTTAAATTTGCCATTCTCGTTGATCCTAGGAACGGGTTTCTTAGGTTTGGCCTGCGGGTGCCCTCTGCGAATGCTAAGGCGAGTCTCCAACTGTTCCGTCATACTATCCAGGAGAATGGGGGTATCTTTGACTTCCCAGTTGGGACGAGGATCGACAGCATCCGCTCCATAAAGGACATCGATGTACGTCACGGCTTTTTCAGAGTCGCTAGCATGGCGGGAGGACGAACGCTTGAGCCAGATGCCTCCCGGTCGGGGTTCCCAGGCTTCGATTTCGGTCTTTCCAACAAATTCAGATGTAGGAGTAAGACGACTGATTTTCAAATCGATGACCACCTTGTCATCAAGGCCCAATTCCTCCTCCTTTTTCCGTCTAAATTGAACGTATGCACTCGAGGTCCAGCCCGAGCGCAGGTAAAGGTCCTTATCGACGCGGTACCAGGCTTCTGGGTCTAGCTTGCAGCTCGAGAATGGATTGAGAGTAGAACATGTTGTTACGGTCACATCTGTGATCACGTAGCCGGAATAATGCGACGGAAGATGGCCATGGATTGAAGAGGGAAGGACACTAAATCGATTATCGAGAACGACCACGAGTAGGAGAATGAATGTTGCGAATAAAACGAGCTGTACACTCGCTCGGACCTTTACAAATTAGGTATCAGCAAACTGCTTCACAGGGAGTCAAATAATGTCATACTAGCCGGCGAGCCATGATGAGATAGATATCACCCTGGCAAGGACTTGAAAAGAAGTGAGGCGCACTGTCGCATGATGCCCACCAATCGCAAGGGTATAGGGCGGAGGAGAGGACCACGTTCGGTCAACTCTAGAATATAAAGGAGAAGTATAATCCGTTTAGAGGATTGAAGTTCGCATTTCACCCTCGACGCTTGGACCCTGAAGGCGGTGACTCCTGAAGAGTCTAGCCTTTTCCCAATGTTTGGTGTTTGGCATTCTGGTGATTCATTGACTTGGATATTCTTACTCTTTTCACTAATATGCTCATTATCCTAGTCTAAATTTATGTGACTTTATGTCCATTTCCAACATTTATGTCCATCTAGTTGTGCAGGTCTATACAGCTCTACTCTATCGTTCTACCCGAGCGAAGGCTTGGCAGCCACATCACTCGGGGACAGCTTGCCACTCAAGATGTCTTTGGAAGTCGAGAGGATTGTGGACCAATTCTTGAAAGTGGTGTAAGGCATTCCCCTGCGCTGGCAGTATGTCACCAAATCTGAAACAGGATTAGTTGTGGGATCTGAGTTCAAGGCGGTTCGGGCAGATTAATACCTTTGCCTTGCTTGGCGAAGAGAAGATCGGTTTCTGCAGCCGCAGACAAATCAGAAATACCATCTCCAGCGTATAGAAGAATCGGGCGCTCTCCGTCGGGCAACGTGGCATAAGGCTTGATCTCTAGGGACTTGTCATGCCCGAAGTGGCTGGTGAACGATTGTCAGTGAGGCTGGGCGAATGATAATCGGATTAACGTGACTTACCTGTCATCATGGTACTCAATCTGCCAACCACCCTCGCTGTTGATATCCTTGCCGTCCCGGCTCACAGGCTCGTTGGAAATGATGGTGAGGTGGCTGGCTGGCTTGTGGCCGAGGAATTTCTCCAACAAGGCGCTGATAATGGGTCGCATTCCAGATGACAGGATGACAATGGGAACGTTGTTCTCCTTGGCCCAGTAGTAGAATTCCTCGAAGTACGGGTCCAGCTTCATGTTCTTCAACAGGGTCTCGATGCACTCGTTGTATGGGGTCTTGATGCTTTCAAGCATCTCGCGGAAGGCATCCCTATAGTGAAGAAATATCCGTTAGGGCTTGCTTGTGGAATGCAGAATGTCTTTAACACTCACCGGAAGCTCAGAGTCTCGTTAAGGACCCGGTCGCCCAACGCGAGACGCTTTTCCCGGCCGAAGCCAAGGGTATCAATCTGAGTGGTATTAGTGAAGACTTAGGAGAGGCTAGTGATGCGAGATACCATGAAGTCATTGCCTGCAATTCCAGTAAGCATTCAAGTCCTCCGGGGCTGACACTTTGCGGGGAAGCACCTACTGTCATCAACTGTAATTGTCCCATCGAAATCGGTGAAGAAGATGAGCTTAGGCTTAGTCTCCATGTATGGGAGAGCGTTGGAACCCATGGTTGTAGATAGCAATATAATGAATCAAAGAAGAGAACGGGTATGTTGTATATACAAATTAGCCCTGAAGAGAATGACAGAGCAATTGAAATTAAAGATGTGCCGATGTGCCCCTCGATTCGGTGAACTCGGGGGTGGGTGGAGCGGTACCGCAGCCCTGGAGCGGGTTAGTCTCTTATCAGCCAGATTTTCCTTTTCTGGTTTTATTACTTCGCTTTCTATATCATGTCTCGTCTACGCCAGGCCCTACAGCGCGTCCTTGGTGGAAATGCAACACCAGGCGCATTGCGCTCTCGAACCATTGATACCAATTTCTCCATTATAAAAGGTAATTGTCTTGCAACGCCTCTTTCCAATCTCGGGCTAACGAAATGCGCAGAGGGAGACCGAGTTATTTTACACGGCAAACAGCCCTCATTGTCAAAAGCATTGAAGCGAGGTGAAAAGCTCCAGACACCTCGCGGCGCAGTGGAACATGATAGCATCATTGGAAAACGGGTCTGGGACACGGTGCAGTCTCGCAAAGGTCAATAACACCCAATTATCGGTATTCCCTAGATATGACACTGATACTTCTAGTATATACAGGCTTGAATCTCCGAGTTAGTCTTCCGACATTAGAAGAATACGTCGCCCTGACTCCTCGCTTGGTCACTCCGGTACGCGCATCACTCCTACGGACCAGACATGGAGATACATTAGACTCACGCGATCCCAGTAGATCTATCCACAGGATGCCAACTTGATTGCTTCCCTTCTCGACATTCACGTCAATACCCCTGCCGCTGGCGAAATACAACCCACCCTAGAAATTCTCGAGTCCGGAACAGGCCATGGATCCCTGACATTACATCTGGCGCGTGCCATCCACGCCGCCAATACCACTCCTCCGCCTCGTCCGTCGCGATCCCAGATCAACTACCTAGAAGGCCGTGTCATCAGACCGAGCGAAAAGGATACAGAACAAACAGAAGATAAACCCGCCGAGCCAATTGCAGACCCAGCACAGGAAGGATGGGATGCGTGGCGAGCACAGCGCAACGCCATCGTCCACACAGTCGACGTATCGCCGAAGTTCGCTGCGCTGGCCGAGAAAAATGTCCGGGGATTCCGTCGTGGAATTTACGCAGGCAACGTTGATTTCTATGTGGGCCCCGTCGAAAACTGGATCGCCCAGCAGAAGCAGCAGCGGAAAAAGACTGGCTTGGCTTCACTGACTGGGGGAAATCCCACCGACCCGTTCCTTTCACACGTTATTCTGGACATGCCTTCCTCAAACTTGAGGATCCCGCATGTTACCCCGATGTTGAAACGTGATGGCCTTCTGGTGGTGTTCATGCCTAGTATCACGCAGATTGGCGAGTGCCTCCAACTGATCCGGGACCAGCGACTGCCCCTCGTTCAGGAGAAGGTGATCGAACTCGGCTCTGGAATCAGCGGCGGTCGTACATGGGATGTACGTTTTGCTACCAAAAAGTCTGGAGCCGACCCATCGTCCTGGGCCACCCCTTCAGATGCTGAGGTTGCTACTCCTGTTGAGGCCGACGAGCAGTCTACCGCCTCTGACAGTGCCTCTGAGGTGTCCACCGCAGAGGAGCCTCCGAAGGAAGGAGAATCTGTCTTGGTCTGCCGGCCGAAGGTCGGATTGCGTATCCAGGGCGGCGGCTTCGTCGCAGTCTGGCGACGGATCGAAGACCGTTAAGCTCCCAGTTACCCCAAGCATATAAATCATGTACTGTACTATATACCTGTATTCTATTGCATGTCTGATACGGACTGAAACCATTTGTACCATATGTTGTATAGAGAATTGTGAAAATAATATCATCGAAATGCTCGAAAAAAATGTTGTAACAAGGAACAAATCACCAAGGCACTTCACAGCTTTGCTTTACCCTCGGTCTCCACATCCCCTTGAACGGCAGTTTCTATACCTTCACCCTCAGCACTTTGAACACCCTCTGTCTCATCCTGAACGAGCACCGCCTCCGTCTTAGGTACTTTGCCCAGAACGAAAGCCTTCACATCCGCGAAGAACTTCTCCGTCGTCTCAGGCAACTCAGCATGCAACTTATGATAAGCCCCCTCATAAGAACAAAACTTCACATCACCACCCTTCTGCGTCAACTTCTTAGAAAAGTCCTTCGTCGCAACATAGCTAGTAACAAGATCCCCGTCTCCGTGTCCAAACCAGAATGGCAGATCACTCTTCACCCAAGCCCCATCCCCAGCTGCAAACATCTCCTCCAACCAAATACCCCGATCCAACATGCCGGCCAAACCCCCGAACGTCCCCGTGTCGTGGCATAGCTTATCATCCACGAACTCCTTGACTGTGTCCTTGTTACGAGACAGCAGGTTCGGATCAAGCGGGGAATACCGCTGCTTATGGGGAATCAACTTGGCGACAATCCGCCCCGCTCCGACGATTAGCTTTGAGGGACGGGAGGATGGATCTATGGCGATTAGAGGGGAGTACAGAAGCACGCCGCTAAAGTTGGGTCGGCTGGCTTTGTCCTTGTTGTAGGGTGACTCTGGGTGGAAAATGTAGTTGAGGACTTGGCCGCCGCCCATGCTATGGCCCATTAGGAAGAGGGGCAAGTCAGGGCGGGATGGTAGGCTTTGCAAGAAGGAGTGGATGTCTGAAAGGACTTGGGCGGTTGGGCCTGTGTCGCCCTGGTCACGGGTTTCTTTGACGCTGCGGCCCCATCCTCTAATTTTGGGATATCAGTTAGGAGGTTATGGTGAAATAGGGCTTTTCATTGCAGGCATATATATTGAGATATCAGGATAGGGCTTGATTTTGGTGATTTTAATACTTACCGCTGATCGAAAGACCTAACCTCAATACCCGCGGATACCAGTGTTGGAAACAGATCGTGGTAGGCGTTGCCTAGAACATTTTGTGTCAATAGCCTGTCTTTTGAGCGCTGGACTGTCTTGGCTTATCGCTCAGAATAGATATAGACTCACAGTGATCACTGAAGCCATGGATAAAGGCCAAAACAGCAAGTGGGGACCCGCTGGTCTATAGAGTAGAGCACATTTTTAGCGTTGGAGATCAATACGCTTATCTTGGAGTGGGAGTCCCTCCCAACTCATCCAGATAGGGACTGAAAGCTGCCTATTGCAAATTCAAACATACCTTCCAGGTTTTGGCATACAGCTCAAGACCGTCTGGGAGGGTGTGCACGCTTTCTTCTGTGTTCATTTTGGCCGTCGGAGCTCGTACAGAAGCTTGAGGTGTGGTTAGAGAAGAGACGAAGTGCATGTTTTAACATGGGTATGACCTCGGTCCTACCTCGGCAGGAATGTCAAGCCACGATACTAACGCGATTTAGATCCACCCAGCCCCAAATTTATACTAAACCCAATTTTTATACATATGTATAAAATCATATCGTAGCAAAATATTCTGTATAAAGAAAAAATATGATGACTATAATAGTATTGGATAGATACAATCCTAGGAATATTAGGCATATTCTAGGCACGCCTACTTGAGTACATTCTACCTTTTCTCTAGCAAACTTACCAATCATATTCGATTGTGACTGGTCGTTTTTCTTTCTTTTTTTTTTCTTCTCATTGGTTTATGTTGTATACATACAAGCCCATGATCGAGCCTCGACGTTGGAAGATTCTAAATTCAGATTGGTAAGAGCCTCTCGAGGTCCACGGGTCTTCAGACGGTGGGACCCACTTAATGGAATATCACTTGAACAACGACATTTGATTGGTTACAAGTAACTACGTTCTATCCAATCATGTTTTGCCAGTGACATAACTCCCCTGTCGCTCTCGGGCTACTATATATATCATGAATGAATATCAATTTCTTTAGCCTTATTCTTTGTTAACTTCCAACATTGAGATCTATGCTATCTTACCTCATACAAAGAGTGCCCTCTACACTTCGGCCAGCAATCTCACAATCTCTGCTGGGCCCCAAATATCCAACAAAAATGTTCTTTTCTGTAGCCCCAGCGGTTGCGAACACCAAATCCGATGTCTCACATCGATCTCTGGCATTACCTCTGAATGAAGATAGCCCTGAAATCCGCCAGAAGTATCGACCATTTATTCTTGAGGACAATGCAACTGAAGATTGGGTCAACAACTTAGACCTAGCCACCGCAGCGGACATGGCAGAAAATAACCTGCGGGCTACAAACCAAAGGCTGAAAGTTCTAGTACTCTATGGAAGTCTTCGCAAAAGGTCATATTCCCGACTAGTGGCATTTGAAGCTTCCCGTATCCTTTTTCGACTCGGCTGTGACGTCCGCGTCTTTGATCCCGAGGGACTTCCCATAAAAAACGACAGTGATACCGCCCATCCTAAAGTCCAGGAGCTGAGAGAACTCAGTTTATGGAGCGATGGACATGTCTGGGTTTCGCCCGAACAGCACGGTAATCTGGTGAGTGAGCTCTCGTGATAATCCTAATAATCTTAACGTTTAATACAATATTTACTTACGCGCTTTTCCGCAACCATAGACCGCTGTGTTCAAAAATCAAATCGATTGGATTCCGTTGTCTACTGGAAGTGTCCGTCCCACCCAAGGCCGGACGTTGGCAATTACCCAGGTGTGCGGTGGATCCCAGTCGTTCAATGCGGTCAACTCTTTGCGTATCCTGGGTCGGTGGATGCGTATGTTTACCATTCCGAATCAGTCTTCGATTCCCATGGCATATACACAGTTTCCGGATGAAGGTCAACCGGGAGATCAACATCTGAAGCCTAGTGGCAACCGAGATCGTCTGGTGGATTGCATGGAGGAGTTTGTCAAATATACGATTCTGATGCGGCCTCACATTGAGCTTTTTGGTGACCGTTTTAGTGAGCGGGAGGAGAAGAAGAAAAAGGAGGCAAAGCTGGCTGCTGCGGCGGCTACTTGAAAGATATAGAATAATATATAGACCGTTAGAAGGACAATAGATCGTGGTATAATTGCTCATCATACTTCGTTGCCTCGGGCTGATAACTGGCCTCCTCCTCGGGCTAAGGCTTACATGCCGCGCAGAAGAAATGATAGTCTTGAGGCTCGCTCTCTTCAGCTTATGGAGATATGACGAGTTGAATTGGGTGAAATAGCTCCATTGTCGGCTCGTATCCTTGGCGGTGGCTTGAAATGGAGTGTATTCAGATTCTCAAAGAGGCGATTATTTAGTAGCGGGAATTACCTGCGGTATTTATATGTGGGATACGACAGGGGAAACATGGCTTTATCTCATTTCCCAACATAGGCAGTAGTCAGGCCTACGCGCAAGTCCATCAAAATCACTAGTATATTTGTCTTCTGGCCAAATTGTGTTATAGTCTTGCCGATCATTCTGTAAGTAGCAATGACAAGTAACAGTGACATACCACATTCGGCAAGTCGAAGTCATATCATATAGTGGAGGCAGCCTTAATTAAATGTTCCTCGCTTCCCTCAATATGGTATTTATAGGTTATTTGGGAGGGGAACCATATTTGACAAGGAAACCCCCACACAAACACTTTGTTCCCCGCAATTTCTTTTTTATACTATACAATGTCACTTTCATCCAATACTTCTCCTCCCCCAGATGGGGGTTACGGCTGGGTATGCGTGGCTGCGTGCTTTTCTATTAATTGCTTCACTTGGGGTGCAGTCTCTGTGAGTTGCCTCTGTATCAATCATGTCAGTGGCAGCCCAGCTCATATCCTTTGACAGTCATACGGCGTGTACTTGGCACACTATCTCTCGAACAACATATTCCCGAAGGCAACTCCAATGGACTTTGCGATAATTGGAGGTCTGAATTTCTCTATGGCTATGCTGGTAGCCCCTGCTGTTACAATCATCGCTCGCAAATACGGCACCAAGTTACCGATGTTGCTCGGGCTAGGGCTTTTGGCATCGGGATATGTCTCTGCGTCCTTTTCGCAAAGAATATGGCAGCTCTATCTATCACAGGGAGTCTTGATTGGATTCGGTGTTGGCTTTGTCTATATACCAAGCATTCCTGTTCTCTCTCAGTGGTTTGATAAGAAAAGAAGTCTTGCCAACGGGATCAGTGCCGCCGGGTCAGGTATCGGTGGCTTGATTTTTTCATTTATGGATGGTACAATTATTCAGAAGATATGTCTTGCTTGGGCTCTGCGGTTGACGGCTATCATCAGTTGCTCAATACTGATCATTGCCATTTTACTAATCCGAACTCGCAACGAAGCTATACAGCCGACCCAGCGGGGATTTGATGTGAAACTATTGCGTCGTTTAGACGTGCTTTTATTGCTATCATGGGCTTTTCTTAGTATGCTTGGCTATATTTGTCTGCTGTTTTCACTTCCAGATTATGCACGCTCCATGGGACTCTCGGACAACCAGGCTACAGTTGTCAATGCGATCTTGAACTTGGGAACTGCTGTTGGCCGGCCGCTGATTGGCATTTCCAGTGATTATTTTGGCAGGATTGAGGTCGCGGGCCTTTTGACTTGCTTTTGTGGCGTCACTTGTTTTGCCATTTGGCTTCCCTCAACATCATATGGTGTACTTGTTCTCTTCGCTTTCATTAGTGGGGCTATTCTGGGTGTATTTTGGGTTGTAAGTTGGTCTATCTTATATTTATCCTACACTGCTGAACTTCCTAATAGACCGTGGGGCCCTTATGTGTTGAGGTTGCGGGGTTGGAGCAACTCCAATCACTGCTCTCTTTGTCTTGGTCATTTATTGTTCTCCCTACAACATGTAAGGGTTCTACATCCAAGTCAGAAGACCGTGGGCTAATATCAAATTATAGTCTCCGAGGTTATAGCACTCAAACTACGCCGTCTTGGGTCCTACCAACCATATAGAAATGCCCAAGTGTTCTGCGGTATCTCTTACATTTGTGCTAGTGTAGCGCTGCTTTTTCTCTGGTTGGTAAAACGACGAAAAGGACAAACAGGGGCATAGAAACAGATAGATGTACATAAGCTAGTTAATGGCAGAACACAGGCTCAGGTATATTCACCCGATTAGAAGGCCTAGGCTTAATGCATATAGCGATTGGAACTAATTTAATAATATATGTCAGTGGTAAGTATTAATCTCTTTATAATTTCTTTCCAAAATGATATTCAAACCCAAATGGAGACATTCGATGGCTATCCTTGGGGGATTTGTTTATCGAGATATACTGTGGAAGGGGATAGATGGGTTGTCTAGGTTTGGCCTTCGCTAGGCATGGGTACTGATTGCCCCAGTGTCTCAGACTGGAGCGTGCCGTTTGGACAGAAGCGTGGACGGAAATATGGAGTAAATCGAACCAATAACGTACCTTGTTGATATAAACTAGGAATAGCCCTGATCCTGATAGGTCGAAGATGTAATTTCAGGGGACGACCTACTGCCCAAGCTTCCCAAGCTTTCTCAAAGTACGCCTCTTTCCGTATATGGATTTGCGCGTTAAGCTAGTGATGAACCATGTCGGCCCTTAAATTGTCGCTTTGTTTCGTTTTCTTCCTGCCTGCTCTCTCAGTAGTTGAATAGTCTGTTGGCGTATACCACTCCCTTGACACTGATGTCTTTCATCGACGAGGCTGTCACCCACCCAGTTCCCATTTTATCTTCACTTGAGCAGCAGAAAGTGTTAGGCAAAGAATCCGTGGTTGCATCGGGAAGCGAGAATGAAAAGACCGCCGAACAGCCATTGGAAAATGCCATCGAAGGCGGCGATCTAGATGTCGTCCTCGTGGACTTCGAGGAGAACGACACAGAAAACCCTTTGAATTGGTCGTCAATGCATAAATGGCTGATTGTGTTTGTTGTCTCGTGGATGGGTTTTGTCAGGTGGGCGTCTTTCTCTTTTCTCAGTCTCTATATATGTCAACGATTGACCAAATTAGTGTCTTTTCAACAATGACGATCGTGCCCACGACGCCGCGGATCTTGCAAGAGTTCCATTCACACAACAAGCTCGACCAGATTTTGCTCGTCACGATATGGGAGCTCGGAGAAGGGATCGGCCCGTTTTTCATTGCACCGCTCTCCGAAAGATTCGGCCGGCTTCCCGTATTCCATATTGGAAATCTCCTCGCGCTCTGTTGCTTGATCGCCAGCGCGCTCAGCGTAAACATCCCCATGCTGATTGCCTTCCGATTCTTAACGGGCTGCTTCCTGTCAATTCTCACACTCGGGCCCGCCATCGTCGGGGATTTGTTCCAAATGGAACAAACCGGCCGGTCCATGGCAGTAGTCGTGGGGACTCAGATGATAGCAGATTTCATCTCACCTATCGCGGGAGCGTATATCGCACAGAGGCTAGGCTGGCGATGGTCGATTTGGCTAGCAGCCATCGTACTCGGATTCTTCAGCTTTCTGTTACTAGCTGTGCTCCGGGAGACATATGCAGTCGTCATTCTGAGACGGAAGGCGGAGCGGTTACAAGAGAAGTGTACGGACGACAAGAAGTATCGTTCTAAACATCAGGCCCGTATCGATGCATCCACCATGCTCGAAAGCGCCATAAAACCAATGCAGATCCTGGTCCAGTCTCCCATCCTCATTCTGACGACAAGCTACATGGCCATAACATACGCCTTAGTCTCATTGATTCTTGCCACACTCACGGAAAGCATGGAGTCAACATACCCCACGGTCTTTTCTAGCGGCTCCATTGGCTTGACGTTTCTAAGTCTCGCCATCGGCAACACCATCTCTTTGATCTTCTACAGTTTTACTTCTGACCGCTACATGATCCATCAACGAGAAACGAAGGGCGACGCATTCAAGCCGGAATCTCGACTGGTGCATCTGCTTCTTGCCGCAATAATTCTTCCTATGGGCTTCCTGATCTACGGATGGACATTAAATTTTCATGTTCAATACATCGTGCCACTCATCGGGGCATGTGCTGCTGGATTCAGCATGACGCTTTCTGCCATACCGGCTGAAACATACGTGGTGGATGTTTACGAGATCCATGCAGCATCTGCTATAGCTGCTGGTGTAATCTTCCGAGCGTTTACTGGGGCCTTTTTGCCATTAATTGGCCCTCCTTTATATGAAAGTATTGGACAGGGCTGGGGTAACAGTGTTCTAGCCTTGATCGCAGCCGCTTTTATTTCCCCCTTGGGCTTGCTGATGAGATACGGAGACTGGTTTCGGAGTAAAGAACTTTGTTAGATGTCCCACGTCATGCCCAGTTAGGCTCACAATACCCCAAAGGCGTGTGATATGGCTAGGTGCTTATCTCAAGTCTGGGAGTCAAGCGAAGCGGGCCAAAAGCCTATGGCCCACGAGGGTTGGAGACACTTGAGGCCGGGGGATTCTCGGGAGGCTTCACTTGCGCACTAATGCAGTGTAACCCAAACCTGCGCTAGACCAGGACCTCATCTGTCTAATTGGGCTTTCCTCCTACATTTGTAAAGAGTCGGTATTACCACCCACGCCTAAGAAGCATAAGGTATAAGTCAGCCGTGACCAGCGCCTTCTTATATTACAATTCGAGTCCTTCACGGGATCATTTGAGAGACGCTTGCCATGGTGCCTGGACTAATACCTTTCATCCATTGTCCCATGACTTCGCCAAAGTACCGGGGGGAGCTGTAAGACATCCGCCCTTTTTCCAAGCTAATGCAGAGCTAACGTTAGACGTATTAGCTCTCCAAAGTATTACAGGTCATAACTACATATTATTCTGATCAGTCTCAATTCCCTATTCTGCGAGTTAGTCTAAAGTAGTAGTCCGGGATGGTAACCATATACTACAATTTCAGCATCGAAGCATTGCTGCACTACAAAAGAACATCCTACTCTACGTTTACAAAGACCGACTGAAAATGAACAAAGCCACGCTCTATTCTTGATTGAACCACGCATATAACGGGCACAATAAACACGTACATAGAACAGACAGAACTCCCTTCGCCTGATCGAAAAAATGACAAA